CCCGCCTTCCGCCAGCCTCAGCCGGGAGTCGGCCTCGACGCGGCGTGGCGGGGGCGGCGGGCAGGGGTCCTGGCCACCCTCCGTCTTTCTGCGCGCCAGCGCGCGGGGCCGGTGGCCGGGCCTAGTGACAGGTGGGGCGGCCGGCCGGCCGGGAGCCCACCTGTCAGAGTGGTCGGCGACACCTCGGGGTCTTGGGCAGCCCGAGGGCCTGCTGCGGCCCGATGGGAGCCTCGCAGTGTCGTGTGCCTAAGTGGGGGGCCTTGAGCCTAAGTGGGGCCTGTGGTCAGGCGGGCCGCGTGCCCAGGTGGGGCGAGCCCGACGGCTGCGCCTCGCTCTGCCAAGGGGTCGGGGTCTGGCCCCGCTGCCAGTGGGAGCTGCTGGTGCCCGCAGGGAGCATTTCCCTTTGGAGAGGTGACTTAAAATCCCCGTGTGGGACCTGCCTGGCTAGCTCCCCTGTCGGGATTGTGCAAGAAAGGCCCCTGCTGCCTGGAGGCCTGCCTCGTGCTGGTGGGGAGATGTTTCCTTTGAAACGGACGAGTGTTAAACTTCTTTTTTCATTCTCACTCATTGCTTGTCCCCCTTCCTTTTTACCAGATAAGTCCGGTTTCTTTTGTGAAGGGTACGCAGTCACAGCCTTGATTTCCTGGATCTGGTAACATGGCAAAAGATGTAAGTAGGATTGCTGCCTGCTACAAACATGCTAACATACTTCTTGTTGCAGATTTCTCCCATTATTTGAGAGTGGCCATACGCGCGTGGCAGTGGCTTACTCAGGCGTTTTACACGCAGGAGCTGGGGTGGAGGTGAGGGATTGGGAGTCAGTAGGTGGGTGCCTCCCCTCTGCACAAATGTTCTTTGTCATCTGAAGCCTGACACATTATTTGTGGTTGGATGATGCTGTCTTGATTTTTCCTTGATCTATGTAGACTGCTTAAATAAAGAAAATTGAATACATGTCTCAGTTAAAATGAGTGTGTGAGGGGCTGTTAGTGGGTTTCCACACAGGAGAGCTGGCAACATTGGCCTTAACGCTGTACTTGTTTTACGTAGTATGTAAGACCATTATTCAGCTTTGATGGGTGGAATACCAGCTACTTGTTTGGGCACATTTTTCCCAGAAAGATGATGTTTGGCGATCAGTGAAACAGTGGAAATGCTGGTTGGTTTAGCTTCATATTTATTGTGAAGCTACTGAATATTTTGAGTAATTTTTTGAAGCAGGCATGGAAAGTTAGGCTGTATTGTTGGTCACTTTTTTTTTTTCCTCCAAAATCAAAATCACTCTAACTCCCTCCAGCACTAATTGTGTCCTGTCCAGTGTTTTTCAGCATTCAGTGTTTGGTGATTATTAGAGCCATATGTTTTCAGTACCGCCTTGGAACTACAGGCAGATATGGTGGATCAGCTGGAGTTGTGCCCAGGTATAGTGAGGCTGTGTCCATGGTGTGGGCCAGGTACAGTTGCGGAGTCCTGTCCTGACTCGAGCCCAAGAACTCAGCCTTGCTTACTGGCTCACACAGGTCAGGCAGTGCCTCTCTTCCTGTCATCAAGCACTGGGCCTGGCCTTGGGCGTCATGTCATACCCTGGGAGACCTTGTGTAGGTCACCTGAAATCACAGCCATGTATGATGTTGGCTTGATCTTGTTATGTCCACTTGTTTGTCCATACTCATGCCCCGCCCCCCCATGTGTGCCCTAAGAGAGCCATGGTACTTCCTGAATGCCCACAAAGTAGCTAGACTTGGTAAATGGTTTGTATATAAGGTACTGGCCCCCATGCTTTTGTGAGACCACATGGCATGCTGTAGTTTCAGGGAACATTGCCTTTTCAGGGAGTCAGCATGCTCAAAGTCCTGTCGTCTTCGTTTTCCACCATGCACCCCCCTTCCATGTTCTGTGTCCCTGGGGAAGGGGGGGTGCACTGTGATAAGTGTTCAGGATCTCCTGTCAGGCTGAGGGTGTGAAGCCCAGCCGGGCTGGGCTCCACTGTGGTGTAGCTCAGCCGGTGCTGTGACTGGGTAACAGGGAGCTGCAGTGAGCCCCACCACACCTGTGCGCAGGCCAGAAGTACCTAGGCAGAGTTGACGTGACCCTCCCTGTTTTTGGAATAGAAGTGGAGTTTGCAGACAGTCAAGGATTGGGCTGTTTCTTTCGCCAGCCATGTTTTTGAGTAGGATGTGATTTTTTGAGTTTCAGAAAGGGACTTTCTAGCCTGTGCTGAAGGAAAAGAAAGAGGCACCATTGAAGTTTCTAAGCACTGGATGCTTAAGATGAAATCTAGCCGAAAGCTGGATGTGGTGACACACATCCTTAATGCCAGCATTTGGGAGGCAGGGGCAGGCAGATCACTGAGTTAGAGGCCGGCCTGGCCTACAGAGCAAGTACCAGGACTGCCAGGGCTACACAGAAAAACTGTCTCCAAAACAAGAAAACCAACCAACCAAACAAATAAACCCCCTCAAAATCTGCAAAAAAACAAAAACTGTCTGTAAATTATAGCCTGTAGACATGGGACTTTGAAGGCTGTGACACCGGTGAGAATAGAGGGGCGAAAGTCAAGCTCTAAGTCATTATTGAAGAGAACCATGAAGGGTAGAGAGAAGAGAGAAATAGCTTAGGGGTTTTCTGCCCCTGTAGATGCCCATGCAGACCAGCAGGGGAGTCAGGCTGCCTGTGAACTGCAGGCTATGGTACAGGGCAGGCAGTTAGCAGTGAACAGGATGGAGATGGCAAGAGCTGGCGAAGGATTTCTTCCGGGAAGGTCAAGAACACTGATCTGGGAAGATGTGGGAGTGGGCAGGAGAGTCACAAGCAATGGTGGAAAGGGTGGTGAGCGCCTGTGCTCTCTGGTATGCCTCTCTAGGACTTTCCTGTGGGACTGTAGAGTGACCGCGTGGAAAGCATGTGTGTAGGGTGAGCTGTGATGACCCTGCTGTAGGGACTGGAGAGGCCTAGTATGAGGGAGTATGTCTTAGAATGTGAATGTTTTCTCTCAAGGTCGAGGCTGACACTCGCTGCCTGGGGAGTTGTGCCATCTCACTGTGGAGACAGTATTCTTGGACTTGCCAATCATCAGAAAAGTCTACCCCCGATAGACATGCCTAGAGGAGTGTGTCCTAGGTGATTATAAATTCACTCCTATTGAGTGAGGATTAACTGTCAAGTCCATCTCTTGTCAACGTGACAACAAACACATCATTTTGATTCTCAGCATTCCATCCTTGGTCCTCAAAGGCTCATCTCTTAAGGCAAAATGCTTTTAGTCCATTGGTACAAACCTTCAAAGTCTTAACATTTCTGACATTGTGAAAAACTACGAATCCTCGGCTGTTGAGGTGGCTCACTTGGCAGACCCGAGTACTGAGTGCTGGGGCCTCCGTGGTAGAAGGAGAGAACCAACTTCCCAAGTATTTTCCTCTGATCTCCATGTGTCCTCTGCACCCCTCCCCCATTTAAATGTAAGTCACTGTAGTAAAAAAGGGTCTGGAAAGATGACTCAGTGGTTATGACATGAATTGCTCTTTCAGAGGATGTGATTCCTAGAATCCATGTCAGGTGGCTCAGAACTGCCTGAAACTCCAGCTCCAGGGAGATCTGATACCTCTGACTTCTATGGGCACCTGCACTCTCATACACACATGTGTGTGTGTGTGCGCGCGCGCGTGCACGCACATACACACACGGGGGTGGGGGAGAGGAGAGAGATAGATAATAAAATAATCTCTTTTTTTAAAGGCCCAGATCTACTCTTTTCCAAGACTTACTGGCAAAGGCTGGACCAGTGCAGGATCAAAAATCAGTAGGGCAAGCACCAAACCTTGTAGCTCCATGTCTGTTATCTTGGGCTTGTAATGGCATCCTCTGGGCGCTAACAGACTTGGATAGCCTTGCTTCTCTAGTACTACTGCCTGTAGCACTTGAGGCCTCTTCAGCTTGCTCCATTTTGTGCTTACAGCTTTCTTTGGCAGATGTTCCTTGATCTTGTCCTGATGTATTCTGTATCTTGAGGTCTCCATTGCAACTTAGGGCTTATTTCCCAGCCTCACGCAGTGCCTGCTCAGCCTCTTTGCAAAGACTCCAACCCTGGCCCCTCTTATATTTTGTATGCCTGCAAAAACCGTCCCGAGGACTGTGCCAAGTTCTGCCAGCTTGAGATAGATGGCCCTTTCTGCTATGGCTGTAGCGGCCTTCTGTGTCTTGTCAGCTAAACTTGGGAAAACACTTTTTCAAATGGCTGTTTTTATTTGATAGCATTTTCAGTTCAGGCTCTTACAAATGAATTTTCATTTTCTTTAAGAAACAAAGCTATTGTGTGGGTATGCGGGCACGCACACATGCCGAGTTGTGTGTAGATAGCAGGACAATTTTGTAGAGTTGTTTTTCTCCTTGTCCCTTTATGTGGGTTCTGGGGCTGGAATGCAGGTTGCCAGACCTGGTTTTACCTGCTGAGCCGTCTTGCCATGTGGAATTGCCATTTTTACCAGTTGGACCTTTCTGTGAGTCTTGCCCCAGGGATGCTTTTCTTACTGCTTTAGTGCAAAGTGTGAGGTTTCCCCTCAGTTATAAATGCTTTGTCTGCACCTTCCTTGTCTGCAGCTTTAAACTCCTGTGTGCTTCGTTTTCACTGAGCTGCTTCTCACAATATGAGTAGGAGCAGTAAGCAGTAACCATGCCACAGCCTGGATGCCATACTGACTTGAAACCAGACCGACAACTTAACCCATTGCTTTTAAATTTAGCCTCACTCAGATTTTAAGGGCATGGGCAGAATACAGCCAGGTTGTTTGCCAGAATGTAACACAAGTGGCCTCCTGCCCAGTTCCCAATAGAACCCTTGTTCCCCTCCGAAACCTCAGAAGCCTGACCTTCAGTGTCCACATCTACATTGCCGTTCTGCTTGCCAGAATGGCCTAGTGAGTTTTGCTTAGAGCATTCCAGGACTTTACACCACAGGCCTGTATATCATGGAGTTTATCACAGCAGTGGCCTATTCCTCAGTACCAGTTTTCCACGTGAGTTTTCTCATTATTGTGACAAAAGTGACTTCAGCCGAGGTTTATTTTGTCCTGTAGTTCAAAGGTACCATCACAGCGGGGAAGGTGTGCTGGAGGCAGCTAAGGTGGCTGGTCACATTGCACAGTCAGAAAGCAGAGCAATGGATGCAGGTGTCAGCTGCTTGCCTTCCTGGTTCCTCTTCACTCCACAGGACGGCACTGCTCACATACAGGGTGGGTTCTCAAGAGAAACCTTCCTGAAAAACACTCCCACAGACGCCCGGAGGAGAGCTTACACAGCATTCCAAATCCATCAGCCTAACAGTGAGGGAGAACCGCTGGTCATCCTGCGGTGAAATGTCAGCATTCTAGGCTTATTTTCAAACAACTATCATTTTTGTCTTTTTAGTGGTTCTTGTTTGACATGCAGTAGAACCAAAAGACATTTGGGCACTGCAGTCTACTAGATTTCAAATGTTCCAGGCTCTTCGTCATGGAGAGAGCTGGTGTTAGGCTGGATAGGGCCAAGTTTGAGCAGTTCAAGCCCAGAGCTCAGGAGGACCTGTTGGCATTAGTGTTCTGGGAAGGGGGAGGCTGGAATCTAGAGGCAGGTGAGCACCTGGCCCTCTTGCTGTGAGCATGTGTGTTGCTGTGACTTCCAGGACTGGTCTCAAA